TCTGGTATGTGAACTAGTAGAAGTAACAAATAATTAATATAACACAGCCATTTTTCACAAGAGCAGTCGTCATACTTCACGACCATAATTAATTTAAAAGAAAACGTTTTAATGACTACTCCCTTATCCTCAGTGACCCAACCTCTTGTAATAAATTTATGGAACAAAAACTCTTTCCACAAGTTATGATATAATACCTTAATTATATTTTTTGTGCTGTAATAGTTTTAAAGGGGTGCTATGGTTTATAAAACGTAACTAAAATTAACGATTTTCACTTTTGGGGAATAGTTTACACGAGAAATAAAACACAAACAAACTCAATGAATAGTTAAAAAAATTGTCTGCATTGAAAAGAAATTCAAAAACTGCCCCTGGTTAAAACATTAATTTCAGGAATATATACAATTTCAAACCATATCCATATGCGATTCGGGCCATTTATTTAAAGTAATTATGGGTATGGCTTCTATAACTTTTTGTAAATGACATAACTCTTAAAAATACATAGTAAAGAACTTAAATAACGAACAACTTTGATATATTAAATAACTGATAAACAGAGTTATAATATCGATGTTGATACGAAAAATATATCGGAGTTGGTGAGTGAGTGATTGATATTTTGTATTTTAGATTTGTGTTGTTTGGCTTAAGTTAAATCTAATACATTATACTTTTTTATATTTATAGTTTGGTAATAAGAGTTTTATATTCTCAAACATGTTGAACAATTAGATGTTATCCGATGAACAACCTATTAGATGGTTATAAACCTTTTATTTGTTTCGAAGAACATTGTTTCTTATATAACTACATCTGAAACTGTATGAAAACCAAAGGAAGTTTATAAATCACCACCACCATTATTTTATAAAGAAATAACAGATCAAAAAAATCATTACATCAATAAAACTGTAATGCTTATATCTAGCCATGAATATTCTTTATATGATTCTTAGAGATTAATTGAAGAGACATAATTCAATGTCCTACACACTGAATTAGAATGAAAAATACGAAATTAAGAGTAATTTAATACATAACAGTAAAAAAGAAAATGAAATTATAAATGTAATAAAAAGTCGTGTCATGAATTTATCATAATTCTTATAAAATTCGTGAACATTAACAGAAATAAACAATAAGAAAAAAAAAATGTAACAGGCTCATGAAAACAACTTACACGACATAAAACTTAAAGAAACGTAGCTTTAAAGGACTTGATGGTAATATTCTTGTTTGTTCTTTATCTATCAGATGTACAACATCAATACTCAATAATTCCACAACACTTAATAATGACGGCATAAATATCACAAAATAAAAGTCAGAACAAAACTTGATATGATTTAAAGAATAAAGATGTATATTTTGCGTCTTGACTCATCCTCTAACATAGTAAAAAAACTCTACTTTTATACTTCAGATTACATGCTTGCTTAAAATTTTAAATCAAATTTCATTCTAACATAAGTAATAGTACTCATTAACTTTTATTTGTTAACTAATATTTTTTAAGTAATACTTTTAAATAAACAACTCACTTAAAATTTCTGTAGTTTATGTACCAGTGTGATCAAGCCTTTCATTATGGAATTGTTATACGGTATATCATTTTAAGAACCTATAATTTAGGATTTAGACCAGAAGTAAAGCTTGTCACTTATTAAAAATCGTATTCCAGTGACAAATAATTATTTCTATATATATCTGTATATTTTATTTACTTTAACGTATTTCTATAATGAAAAAGGAAAAAAAACTGCACCTTAGAAGATTATACAATGTATAATTTTTGAGTTAAAAGTATTAAAAAGTTACTTGAGAAGAGTCTTTGAGTTGGTAGGAATAAACTTGGTCAGATTATAATTTCTATATACATTTTTTTAAGCTTCGAGACCCATTTAATACTTTCATTCATATTGCTTCACCCAGGTGATGAAAAACCTCAGACCAAATAGTGCCAATACAATAACTACTTCATATTTAGTTATAACTTATTATCAATGATCATTTACACCCTTAGCTATTCTACTACATCGAACAATATTTTGTAAGAACAAACGAGTAACATTTTTAAACGATCCCGTTGTATTTCATTTTTTAACATTTATATCGCAGAACCCCATTACTTGTGTGACAATGTTTTTTTTTATAAAGTAGATTACACATACACGTAAAATAAAAATTATACAACATACTTGATATCAAATCTAATATATTGTTAATTTGTACTAGCAGACTGTTTCAAACAAATTGTATTTGATTGAAAGCAATCTAACTTTATTTGTTTTCAATCGTTTATAGTAAAATAGTTTTTGTGTGTATTGTACAAGTTTCTTCTCAGGGCTTTACATGCAGATCTTATTTTATGTCTAAATCAAACCCCATTTTAGTGATTCTTTTGTTAAATGCTCGTTATTCATATATTTTATAATTTTTTTTAGACAATATTGTTTGGTTCAAAGTTTGCTGAAATAAATATTAATTTTCTTACATTATTTGTAGAGACGAAACAATTTTCTCTTTGTTACGATAGTTTCAATATGTAATAATATATTAAAAGCTAACAAAACAAAACAATGCTTCATAATTACCTACTGTGTGTAATTAAACTTTTAGAGAAGTTATTGCTTGTCTGTCAAATACACTGCAAAGGAATTGAAACGTTCAATTACTGGTTAGTTAAACCATCAGTCTACATCTAATCAAATGTTAATAAACGTGTAACAAAGGCCTTGTTCAGTAACGTTATTAGGAAAGGAAAACCGCCTAGAGCGTTGAATATGAAGGGTAGACCAAAGTAACCGATAAGAATATAGAAAAAAGAAGCCAGAAAGAGAAAAGTGGGCTTGGGCTTCAAAAGCTTTTTGAGGCTAATACAGCAGCTAACATTAATGAGATTTAGATTAACAGTTTCATAGTTTATTCGTAATTTAGTATATTATCTCTTTACTTAATTACTGAAGTCCAGACTATTGTATGTCTTAGTAAATCTAAGGCAATGATAAAAAAGTTCTACTCCGGTTTTACAAGAATATATGTAGATAAATATATACAAGTTTCCTTTTTAAAATAACAACGCAACATTTGGACGAACATTGCTTATATAAAAGGAATATGTTAAACAACTTTTATTTTATAATAAATATGTATTTACCATTACTCATATTAAATAATGAAATAAGAAGTTATGAGCATATCTAGAACAGCTGTAGATTACTGTAGATGTGTAATATACAGTGATAAAATATAATGGTTCCAATATAACTCTTATGGCTTTTATAGAAAGTAGACAAACTAACACGGTTATAAGCTCTGTTTGCGACATGCTTTATTTTTCCATTACAATTTAATAAAAAGAAATAATTGACAGCTATTGTTGACTGATAAACTAAAACGTCGTTAGTATGTAGTTTATAGTCAAAAATAAAATACCGCGTAGTAAATCCGAAAATATTAGTTTCGTTAAATATTTATTTATCTTAGTATAGAATATTTTCATATAAACAAATATTTAGAGAACGTTTTTGCTGTGGTATTTTTTTAATCACTCTCTTTTACTGAACACATACGTCATCTAAATATCATTTTTGTACTACAACTAGGTTCCTACTATAAATATAAACAAGATATTTTTTAATATTTCGTTCGCAAAATAACATATAAAATAGTATTTATTTATTAGCCATGTACCTAATACATTCTCTTTATTAATATAGTTTTCCTTCACATTATTGAATATAATTTCACAATTTTTTTACATGCTTATTACGACTTTTTAAATATTTTTGGTCATAATCTAACTAATTTTATACTTTTTAATATATTACCTTTTGAATACAAGAAATAATTATGTTATGGAGGTATTTATATAAAATACATACTTATATTCTGATTTATTAGAATTAAATGTAATTTAGCTTATCTATAGCAGCACGAAGGATATATTTTTTATTTTATATTTACAGACATACTAATATATGTAAGATTTAAATATGTACAGAGAGTTGTAATTTCTTTCTATATTTTTAACACTCTCGACACAAATTTTCATTATGTTATATGGAAGAAAAATATAATTAACATATTATACAGCGCTGCGGTGATTTAACAACCAATTCTTTACTTAAGGCTTATAATTTTTAAATAATTACAATTCAAGATAGAAATAAAACAAAAGCGATTCCATATTTTCTTTAAGATATGTGTTCAAAGCGGGAGTAATCCAAGTCTTAATTAATTAAATCTAAGAACGTGTACAATAAAATCGGCGTATAATATTCTAAAGCTCCTTTATTTCCAAGTAAAGCGCTCCTCAAGGCTGCGAACACGTTAATGAGGCTTAAATTCATCAAAACGTTAACAACGTGCTTAATTTTAACAAAGTATTTTGTAAATAGCTTCTAAAGAAAATATAAATGTTGTGTTCCGAAGCTTTCATATGATCCTTTAAGACAATATACGACAAAGATAATACTTCTTTAATAGCGGTCCTCAGTAATGTGTTTTAATAATGTTATACATATATAAATAGCGGTGGCAAAAACTCCGATGGCAACCCTCAGGACCACTTGCTGGCAATATGACAGTATGTACACACATTTCAACGTTAAATGCATAGAATCGTCGCAGTTATACTACGAAACAGAGAACATGGTGAGACTACGACGAAGCATTCGAGGGAAAGCTATAGAAGCTGTGGAAAATCTACTCATCTCGAACGAGTACGTAGAAGACACCATATAAACACTAAACAACAGAGAAATAATGAAGGAAAGTAAGCAGACGTTGAAAATATACCAAAGTACTATTGCAACAACGGGAAAATTAACGCCGCCTGTATCTGCGAGTCCAAAGCAGAAGAAGAGTTGCAGTCGAGGAAATAAACATAGCTTGTTGGGAGTACCGAGAAGTCATAAGGACTCACTGAGGCCAAGACTTGATACTGGCAGGAGCTCATTGAGAGACAGACCGTAGGCAACGGTACTTGGAAATCACAGACCTTGGGCTTCTTGCGTCAAGGCTTCACGTTCAACAAGTTTAAGATGACAGAGAATGAGTGAAAGTGAGCCATAAGGTAGCTTGCCTCTCTCAACGTAGTTCGCGTGGGCAGCTGGTAGCCTATCTCCAGAGTACACAGTACTGTTTGAATCTGTGCTGTCAAGGAAACAAACATTAAATATAAAGACAAAACGACTACCCAATTTTTTAAGTTATCTAAGAACATTCTTAAATTAACAAAAAAACGAATATATTAATCTTGTAATAGTATATCTGAAATAATAAGTAAGTATATAATCAAATTATTTTCACAATATTGTAACATTACAGCTCAGTAAGACTCAGTAAGTCAATCGACCCGATAATTAAGTTGCGGAGTGTGATACAATGTATCGTATTGATACATCTTTTATAACTAAACTATGGATATATAGAAGTTATAATATTTTTCAATAAATCTTATTATAAGATTATTGGTAGATGTTTTTCTCATGAACATAACGTGGGCGTCGATACAGACATCAACTTACTTTAATTCATACATTCATATATTTTACTTCATATTTCTATTTATGTGTTTTCAAAACAATTTAATGTTTTCATGAGAATATTGAGGTTTTATTTACAAAAAAATAATTATATTTGAACTAGTGACCTACTTTAAATATTGTTTTTTTTATATTAATTTAAGATGTCTCTTGTGAAATCCACTGTCCTATTTTCTTCACGCGTGTTCAAAAATGTTATTCATGTAAAGCTAACATCCATCAGAGTTTTTCACAACTTGCTATTTCTGATCACTTATTAGTATGAACTATGAAGTTAGATTTCATAAGTATTAAGTTTAGGAATTATTTGGAAAAGTTTGAAATGAAATAAATATTATATCATCTTAAAGTGTTAAAACTATGCGAGTATACTCGTAATAACACAGCAACAGTTAGTCTCAAATAAAAATGGCTCCCCGTAATTTTAGACTGTTTACATAAATATGTACAAAATAAAAACTGAAGTATTGGGCTTTAAAACACAAAAGGTACTCTCAAAAACAACTTTATTGTTGTTTTAAATTTGTATTAAAATAACACAAGTTTGGTGATCTAAAGATATGTACACGTGAACCGTACGCTTACTTTGATTGTTGTGGTCACATGACATGGTGAACCCTCGGATTGTTGAACACAAAGGGATCAAGAATGTTTGCAAAGACTTAGCCGGTTTGACCTTTATGTTTGTTTGAAATTTATCTGAAAAAAAAAAAAACATGTCTGGCATTTAATTGATGTTGGGTTACATAGTGATGTCACTTTTCGTAAGTGGTAAAATATTACGAGTATAAACCTTTTGTACTTTCATCATTTTTCCATATTATATCTCTCCAGGTGTTGATTTAATATATAAACATGTAAAATACTAGTAAGAGGATAGTGATAAAGCATCTTATTTTAATAAAATTTTTCAAATTTACAATAAAGTTTATATTTGGATCACGTACAATTCTTTCTAAGATCATTGTATTAGGTTACAATAGACCAAAAAAATCATTTTGATGAATGAAAATAAAATGTTCAAAACAAAAAATAACTTCTTTTATTTTGATTTTACAACTATAGAATAGTGTCTATAAGATAAGGGTGGCCTTTTGTTGAAGTAAGAGATTTGCCTAATCTGTAACATTGAGTTTTTTTTTTGGAATAATGTTGTAATGTAAGAGATAGCTCTACTGATATATTAAAATGAGTAATTTATAAAGTAATATAATATTAATAATAAACATTCTTTGATTATCTTATCCATAATTTGACAAAAACAAATGCTCAACTTCAGTTTTATAACAAGTTAATAACACAACATTCATGTAGTGAGTATCCATTAATATTTAAATATAAATTGCGCTCATTCAAAGTATGTTTATTTTTGCAAACATATTATGAGTGTCTTAATTGAGTTAGTTTTTAACAAGTTAAGTGTAAACGTAGTAGTCTCAGCTTGTTGAGCTAATTACTTTCATGGAGAGGATTTTAAAAATATATGACGAAATGCGGGCACTGTTTATAAAATAAAGAAAGAGGAAAGTAATTTAAACTAGAAAATTATATCTTACAACTATATCTTACAATTTTTAATACTTGATCAATTTAAGTCACAAAAATTCTGCTTTAAGAAGAAAATTAACTTGTACTCACGTTCTTGAGAGTGAACTACTCGTATCCTTAGATTATATGTAGTTTTAATATAAAAGATTTTTTTTTTCACAAATGTAATTTTGATGTTCATTTATTTTTGTCTCTAAGTACAGTCTTTATAATTACGAAGTTGTAAATGTATTGACACCTAAAAAACGAATAACTTATCCATTTGATATTATGTAATATTACAATATTTATTATAATTTAATTAATTAATTACTATTTAAACTACACCAATAAAAGTTGTAAAATAAAGAATAATTATTATTATTACACTCACAAAATATAAATAAAAACCTTGAAAAAAAATTTAACATAACAAAGTATTCAAAATATTTTGTTATTACACACGGTTATAATTGTTCGTTTAGTGATTTATTTAAAGCACCTACTTACTTAGAAAGTAATTTTAATAGAAAGATGACAGTAATATCTTGACAATGACAAGTCCTCCTGATCAGATGTTGTTTACAGCCGTCCAATACATTGACAATGATATAAAGAAAACTCAGGAAAAAAAACATCATTAGACGGAGTTATCAATATGAAATATCTTTATGTATTCTCAATATGAGCGGTCTCTAATGACGAAGAATGTATTGAGTAATCTTAATCATTCTCTGTTTTGTGTCGTAGTACTTATTACTTACTAACAAAAAGAGACACAAAAAATATGAGATACATTTTTTTATACATAAGTGACGAAATGTTTCCACATTATGAGAAAACAGGTGATCTGCGAGAGTTACTTTGGAGTTGATTGTATAGTAAACTAACATACAGCTTACTATATGAGTGTTTTATCGTAGGGAGAGTGATTTTATAGTGACTTTATTGTTATGCAATTTATCTCGTTGTGGGAAATTGCTATAAATATCTATTTATTTTCTAATACAGACCAAACATATATGTATAAATAATTTAAAAATAATACAACAGCAATGAAATACAAATAAGTTTAGTATAACTCTATCGATTCCTTTTTTGTAATGTGGAACACAAACCTACGTCAATATAAAAATCATTAAGGAAGAAAAAACCAAGCGCTTTTAAGTCGTATAGCAAAAAAGTATTCTCTTTTGATGTTAGTCTTATTAATAATTTGCACAATTTTCCATAATATTTTTTATGTACAGTGTTTTTATTATATACTTCAATTTAAAATTAAATAAGCTTTCAAGAATTTTTCTACTTTCCTTAAATCATACTTAAGTGAAAAAATATAAGAGCAGTGAACAGAGTTCAATTCAAGACACTTAACTCAAGAGAGGAACACGTAGAGAACTTACACAACCCCGAGAGTGCAGTAATATATTATAGAGTTAGAAGGGTTCTTAACTTAAAAAATGTATATGTGTAACAACTATTTCGGATTTTATACCGGATAGTAAAGTTTTGATATTAAAGTTTTGACGTTAACACACGTCAAAACTTTAATATCATCGTTATCAATCAATATCATCAATACATAATTTAACAAAAAAAACTTCCTCTACCCCGTCTGTCTGTTTGTTCGCGGTAAACTCAAATATTACTGCAAAGATTTTCAAGTTGTTTTCATTACTCGGCGTCTTGGCTCGGGATTGGCCGAACTATCACGTCTTGCATACTGTTTCTTAAGCTAATAAGCCAAACGAGAATAAAGCACGACTTATGACTATGTTTCCTTCCTTTTGTTTTCTTTAGGTATTTAATTAGATTCTAAATTACTTAGCTTTATGATCATTATTTGTATGTATACCTTTTCTTATTGATTAACTAAGCGCAGGGTCAGACATTAAAAGTTGCATGAATAGACTTAAGAACACAGTGCTTTTCGCACGGGCAGTTATGTTTACGTGTTACCTTTACACATTTTTTTTGTTTCTACACATGATCTCGTTTTATGTTTTATACAAAGAAATATTGCAATTTTTACATTAATAAACTATTTTTAAACTAAGAAATATGGTATATATGCCGATAAATTTAAAATACATATATTTAACGAAAAAGATGACTAAATTTTGTTTGTCTTGATTTAACTCAAAAAAGTAAGTACTCAACAAATTTTACGTAATATATTTTACAATTTTTGTGAAGAAACCATGCGGAGACGGTGCGGGTAGGTAGTTTAAGAATAATATTAAATAATTTCTTTATATAGTAATTTTGGTACAACTATAGACAAACATAGTTAATCATGTTTACTATTTTTATTTATCTCAATTATTCATGCATGCTGTGATGACCTGTAATTGGAAGTGCAATTAACTCTTAGTCTAAGAACATCTTTTATGCAATTACTAATGTTGTAACTTCTGTTGGTGGTCCCAAAATCTATATATATAAAAATGGATTGCTGTTCCTTAATCTCGCTAAAACTCGAGAACAGCTGAACGGATTTATCTTATCTTAGTCTTGAAATGTTCGTGAAGGTTCAGGGAAGGTATAAAAGCTGAAAAAAATTGATTCATTACTGGGGAAACCATAAAAACAGCCCTTTTCTATTTCCCATACAAACGTTTTTTTTTTTACATTAGATTTGACAACTAACTAATACAAGTATGTCAATCATTCTGTCGCACTTCAAAACACGGAGATTTATGACTTACAGGTAAACTCCAAAAATATAAATAAAAAACGTAATAGATATTTCTTGATTATAGGGCGATACGAAGTTCGCCAGGTCTTCTAGTAAATAAATAAATAAATAGTTTAAACAGTCATAGATATTAGACAGAGTGAGGGGTGATGAGTTGTTTGTAATAATAACTAACCTGAACGTTAACTCAAAATAAACTCCAGTATTAACAAACTCTTATTGTGAGTGAGGTGACATGGAGACGTGATGAACGACACTGAAACTGACGGGAAATAGAGATGAAGATGATTAATTAATAATTAAATAAAAGAATTTGGTTGAAACAACACTTTTTGTTATATAAATATGTCACATTTAACATTAATATATTAACAGAATTTGGG